ATATATATATATAGAGAGAGAGAGAGAGAGAGAGAGAGACATAAATAGATAGATTAAATTAAATTAAATTAAAAGACAGGGGGCATCAAATCAGGAAGAATCACAGTTTTGGGAGAAAGAGAGAAAGTAAAAGGGAGAAAAAAACTTAAAGGAAAGAAAAAAAGTTGGAAACGCAGCAAAGAAAATGCTAACAAAAAAAATGGCAATAAAAATTGGAAGACGATGAAAAGCGAGAAACAGGATAGGGTTAAAATAATGAGCGTGAGGACAGCAAACAAAACAAAAACAAAATGATTAAAATGAAAGAAAATAAAAGTGAAGACGTATTTCGCTCATCTTCACTTCTTGGTCGTCATCTACCCTATCATTGTTCATCATTCAATCAATTAAATGATGCCAGTCTTTCTCAGACACGCACACAAAGGCCAGACATTTTTTTTTTTTTTGCTGCCGAACAAAGCAGACGACATTGAAAATATATGACGTCAGATATTTGTACTTTCATTAAAGCTTCGTATTGAATTTCACAAGTCATCAGCTTTCAGATTATGTCATTTAACCTGTGTTAGATCGCTGAGACATGATCCCTTACATAGATAGTTGACAATGAACTTTCGACATTTTATCATCCACTTTCTTCTTCTTCTTCTTCTTCTTCTTCTTCTTCTTGTATGTGCCTCGTCCCTTCTAACATTGGAGATCATGGCCCTTTACAATTTCCTGTCGTTTGGAGCTCTTAATGATTTTTTTTTCTGTTATCTCCCCATAACCCTGTCCCGCTATGCATTTGCACAAGCTCATTCTCATATGTATCGTGTACCTTCAGAACGTTGGCGATCATGGCTCTTCACAATTTCGTATCCATTGAAGCTCTTAATAAATTTTGTCTTTTTGCTATCATTTGTCCCGCCATCCATTTACTCAAGATCACTAGATAGGTTATATGTTGTTTTCTTCTTGACTGTTCTGTGTGTATCAAATTCTCAAAGCCCTCAGTGTCCTTTTTGTTTCCATTTTTAGTATACTTTGCTTAGCATTTGGAAGGCATTTCTCGCTATCCCAATACGACTTCGGATTTCAGTGTCACACTTTCCACTTTCTGTTAAAAAAACTTCCCAGATATTTTTTTTTTTTTACTATCCTGATTAAATATATATTTTAGATGATTTGAATGATTCTGATATTCGCAATTTCACTTTACAATCAAATAAAGAATTTCTGTTATCTTATTTACAAGCGCCTATTATCCATCCAGAAATCGACCAAAGTCAGGGTCATCAAGCCAATGCGAGCGATCCTTTCCTTAGCTTTATAGTATGTGTTTCGCCGGGGCTACGTACAGTTTTGAATTTAGAGATTTCCTTCTCCTAGACCGGTTGCCACTCAAGGCTATAGAACCCAGTCAGTTAAGGAGTCGACCGTTGTCGGGATCATCGAGTCAATGCGAACGATCCTTTCCTTAGCTGTATAGTATGCGCTTCGGCAGGGCTACGTACAGTTTTGGATTCAGAGATTTCCCTCTCCTAGACTGGTTACCACCAAAGGCAATAGATCCCAGTCTGTGCTGCCATTTATCCATAGCTGGAGGGGGGGGGAGAAGTGTTGGATTCATACATTTTTAAGGGTATCAGCATGTAAAGGAATGTAATGAACTCGACTGGATTCGAACTTGACTCTCCGATTCCACAACCAATGCGTTCGTTGCCAAGGTATTTAAGTTATAATCATGTTGAAACCGTGGTATTTACGCTTCTATTAGGTGTTAAAAACATTTTTTTCTAATTTTGTAAAAAAGTTTGGTTAGATTCATTGATGTGAGGTCAGGCTAACCCTTGACGGGTTATTTAATGTGTAATTTAGTATGAGGCACCCAGTTGGCTGATTTTAGGATGTGTGGGTTATTTCATTTTGAATTTTGAATTTTGTATAAGGCACCCAGTGAGGATCGAACTCAACACCCTGAAATAATATTTGGCTAGGTTGGGTGATTTTAGAATGTGCCAATTCTGGTTGGGTTATTTAATTTTGAATGAGGCACACAGTGAGGATCGAACTCAACACTCCGAAATAATATTTAGTTACGTTAGCTGATTTTAGGATGTGTGGGTTATTTCATTTTGAATTATGCATGAGGCGCCCGGTGAGGATGGAACTCAACACGCTGAAATAATATTTGGTTAGGTTGGGTGATTTTAGGATGTGTCAATCCTTGTTGGGCTATTTCATTTTGAATTATGTATGAGGCACCTAGTGAAGGTCGAACTCAATACTCCGAAATAATATTTGGTTAGGTTGGGTGATTTTAGGATGTACCAATCATAGTTGGGTTGTTTAATTTTGAATTATGTATGAGGCACCTAGTGAGGGTCGAACTCAACACTCTGAAATAATATTTGGCTAGGTTGGGTGATTTTAGGATGTGCCAATCCTTGTTGGGTTATTTAATTTTGAATTTTGTATGAGGCACACAGTGAGGATCGAACTCAACACTCCGAAATAATATTTGGTTACGTTAGTTGATTTTAGGATGTGTGGGTTATTTCATTTTGAATTATGTATGAGGCACCTAGTGAGGGTCGAACTCAACACTCCGAAATAATATTTGGTTAGGTTGGGTGATTTTAGGATGTGACAATCATAGTTGGGTTATTTAATTTTGAATTATGTATGAGGCACACAGTGAGGGTCGAACTCAACACTCCGAAATCATATTTGGTTAGGTTGGGTGATTTTAAGATATGTAAACCCTTTTTGGGTTATCTAATTTTAAATTTTGTAAGAGGCACCCAGTGAGGACCGAACTTATTACTTTGTAGTAATGTTAGGTTTTCTAATTATATAGGCTGTAAATTCGTAATTTTCATGTTGAGCATTTTGTCTTCTTGCAATTGATATCTGAAGCGATAGGATATTATTATTTAAAGGTAATTTTTAGCGACATTTAATTTAAATTAATTAAATATAACACATTTTGATAGAAATCAAAAGATTAAATGGGACTGTTTGAAATACAAGGGAAAGATGATAAATCAAATTAGATACTTGTTACTTTTATACAGGGATATTTAAAAAGAATATATCATCCATATATCATCACTGAAATATAAATCAAAATGATTTGGTATTTACTGTTGTTATAAACAATACGAAATAAAGGAAATGAGGTTTTGGACAATTGATTTACGAGACTGAAATGCAACAATGTCGCTCTCTCTCTCTCTCTCTCTCTCTCTCTCTCTCTCACACACACACACACATACACACACACACAGACTTTTCACACCTCTCTCAATCTCTCTCACATACTTTCTTAACCCCTCTCTTAATTCCTCTTTCAAAACATACTCATAAGCCCTTCCTCAATCTCTCTCACTCTCTCTTTCACACACACACATTCTTAATCCCTCTCTCAATCTTTCTCTCACGTACTCTCTTAATCATTCTTTCAACTTCTCTCTCTTATTCAACCACTCTCTCAATCTCTCTCTCTCTCTCTCTTTCACACACACACACATGCTGAATCTCTCCCTTTCTCTCTTATACGCGCACATTCTTAACCCTCTGTCAATCTCACTCTCTTAACTCCCCTCTTAATCTCTCTTTCAAAAGACACTCTTAACCCCTCCCTCAATATCTCGCTTTCACTCTCTTTCACACACACCTTCTTAATCCCTGCTCAATCTCTCTCTCACACGCACATACTCTCTCAATCACTTTCTCAACCTCTCTCTCTCTCTTTTACTCACCCTCTCTTAACCCCTCTTTCAATCTCCTCTTTCAGTTTCACTCTCACACACACAGACAGCTAACCCCTTTCTCTATCTTTCTCTTTCAGAATACATTGTTAAACTTTCTCTAGCACATTCTTGTTATCCCTCTCTTCAGTCACCCTCTCGCTTTCACACACAGATTCTTAATCTCTCTCTCTCTCTCTCTCTCTCTCTCTGTCCTTTCAACAACAACTTATCTTTTCTTGTTCTAAATAATTCACAATTATTTACGTTTCCAGAACTTTCAGGAAGAAAGTCGAAATCGTGTGTAGTGAAGACCGCTTGGGAGACTGTGGATCCAACACGTCGGCAGACCTTGTAACAGACTTATTTGGTGCAGGTTTTATCTGCGCCGGGCTTGGTTGAAAATTAATATTATACACACGATCCCCAGAGAGCTGTACCCCAAGGCTTTTCCTCTCTTTTGGGAGGGGTTAGGATTAATACCAGGCACCTGAACAGTTTTGGGATTATTACCAGACGGGGGCCACCATCGTATCTTCGACACTGCGTTACATTTTGTACAAAGTGGGCGTACAGATAAATACTACCTTTGTTGCATGTATGGCACATGCTGTAGACCTCCCCAAGTCCCTTGCAGCCACACCCAACAAACACAACGCAGCTATGGATAGACCTGAAATGTACCGAGATATATCCAAACAGTGACTCGAGATAGATAGATAGACATATATATATATATATATATATATATATATATAGAGAGAGAGAGAGAGAGAGAGAGATTTGAAGAGATGAAGATTGTAATATATATATATATATATATATATATATATATATATATATATATATATGTAGAGAGAGAGAGAGTGGGGAGAAAGAACGAAAAAAAGAAAGATTATTACATAGACAGAAATATATATATATATATATATATATATATATAGATAGATAGATAGATATATAGATATATAGATAGATAGATAGATTATCATTCTTTAAATTTTCAGCTCTTCATTTGAGCTTTAATTTTTGTTATTTTCATTTCTTGCTTCACTTATTTTCAACTCACTTCTCATGTTATTTAACTGACAAAAGCTGTTTTTTTCTAACAGAATGTTAAGTGTTTAATTTTTTAATTTTTTTTTTTTTTGACTTTTTTGGATTTAGCCAAAGTTTTCCCCGCTACCCGACTCACATCACCCAAGCAGTGATTCATAATTAAAAATCATTAATATCTCTCTACGAGAGCATTTTGCTTGCCTCTCCTCAGTTGGAGAGGCAATAGTTTTGCCAAAATAGATCAAAAGAAAGAAAGAAAGAAAGAAAGAAAGAAAGAAAGGGGAAAAACCAGCTATCTGTCCATTCATTAAAAAGAAAGAAAGAAAGAAAGAAAGAAAGAAAGAAAGAAAGAAAGAATGAGGGGAAACCAGCCATATGCCTATTCATTAAAGAAAGAAAGAAAGAAAGAAAGAAAGAAAGAAAGAAAGAAAGAAAGAAAGAAAGAAAGAAAGAAAGAAAACCAGCTGCCCGCCTATTCATTAAAGAAAGAAAGAACGAGGGAAAACCAGCCATATGCCTATTCATTAAAGAAATAAAGAAAGAAAGAAAGAAAGAAAGAAAGAAAGAAAGAAGGAAAACCAGCCACCAGCCCATAATTAAATAGAGAAAGAAAGATGTTATATTAGTACCTAGTATTAGAAGAGTTTAGTGCTGCCATATCCAACTACCAATGCTTTGTACCCACACAAGAAATAGTCACATTGAAACTAAATGATACATCACGTTATGGTAAATGGTCTGATGATATAACGATCCAAAATGATGCAATTACACTCAGGTTTCTATCCGTATCAAATATTATATTGCTCGTCTTAAGCCTTGGAAAAATCGCGATATTTGATATTTAGTCCATTTCTTATTTTTATTTTTAAATCAGTCTTATATCTACTCGTTCATTAAAATTAACTGGCCACATTTTTTTGTGAATGCGAAAACACCTGAAAAATAGTATCTGCATTCTTTCTTAAAGCGTTTTCATAATTATTAACTGGCATAATATCCATTAAAAATGGCCGAATTTTGTCCGTATCTGCTTTCATTTCACTTCCAGATCATAGTTTCTGTTTTGGAAAGGTTTCACTTGAATCGTATTTCTTGGGACTCTTTGTAGAGATATCATTATTATAAATAAATAAATAAATAAATAATAATAATAATAATAATAATAATATTAAGTTGGTGCAAAAATAATTTCGTTTTCTAACATATGTTACTATGTGAGAAAACGAAATTATTTTTGCACCAACCTAATAATAATAATAATGGAAATTATAAATAAAATAAATAAAACAATAATATTTAACTCTTTTTAAAATAAATTAAGAAATAAAAATAATAAAACTCTCCTAGCATGCAACAAAAACTGTTGCTCTCGGAAATACAGACATCCCACCAAAAGATGTTAAACCTCTTCATCACGAACCTTGGTAAGGGCAACACGTAATAATACGAAGTAACTTCTCCCTTTTATCACATGTACCGTAAAACAATCGCAACCTAAAAAAAATACATACACCAATACACACAAGAATAATATAGACAAATTGTATGAAATTAACATACAATTTACCCTGATTTCCTGTTATTTCTCTGCATTTTATTTCCTGTCAAGTATGCTTTTATCGGCGTAAGCACAAGGCTAATTTCTGCTGCTGGGATGTGAGTGACCCCAGCGGATGATCATTTTTGTTCATGACTCACTTCATAAGGGAGCCACTTGCTATCGGGTCAGTCCGCCACTGCGTATTATCTGCTGTCATTCCAGTTCTTGAAGCGTTTCACTTGAATCTTAATTCTTAAATCTCTTTGTAGAGGATGTCGATTTTTTTTTATTCAAAGGTCATTCTTATCCCAACTACGTACTGGGTAAGACGATAAACTACGTCCAACAGCAAGGCCGCTAATGAGAAGGTTTTGAGGAGCGTGGAACTACTGGTGTTACCAGGTCCATCTTGACCCGGGGTGGTAGCACCAGGTAGGGTCCCAGTTATGGGCAAATAGTTAACCCTCAAACTGGGGTCAAAACGCTATGAAAGTATAAAAATATTTTTTAATACCAGCAATCTTTTTTTTTTTTTTAATTATTACCAGCAATACATTTTTGAAGGAAAAAAAATATTACCATCAGTATATTTTGGAAGAAAAAAATATTACCAGCAATATATTTTTGAAAAAAATACCAGCAAAAATACCTACAAAATACCAGCATTAAGTTTTTGAAAAAAATATTACCAACAATATATTTTTGAAAAAAAATATTACCAGCAATAAAAATCTTGTTAGCATTAAGTAATCCATTTAGATTGATATGCCGTAAAACAAAACAAACCAAATCAATATATAGTGATATAGATAGATAGATAGATAGATAGAAAGAAAGAAAGAAAGAAAGAAAGAAAGAAAGAAAGAAAATATAACCAGCAATGAAAATATAACTAGCATGAAATAATCCATTGAGGTTGATATGCCGTAAAACAAACCAGACCAATATATATTGAGATAGATAGATAGATAGATAGATAGATAGATAGAAAATATAACTAACAATAAAAATCTTGTCGGCATTAAATAACCCATTGAGGTTGATATGGTGTAAAACAAAGTGAACCAAATCAATATATACTGAGATAGATAGATAGATAGATAGATAGATAGATAGATAGATAGATAGATAGAAAATATAACCAGCAATAAAAATCTTGTCGGCATTAAATAACCCATTGAGGTTGATATACCGTAAAACAAAACAAACCAAACCAAATCTTATCCTAACTATGGATACGTATATCGTTGACATATTCCTGCTTAATTCTCTGTACATTGGCCTGTATTCTCTTTGTGGATTTGTTTGGGATGTTGTATTGAATACTTAAATAATCTGTGCCATAATCTCTTCACATATGCGATTGTAAATTTTCAGAGAATAGCCTAACAAATGATTAAATAGACTGGGTCTCTCATTTCCTTCTTGTCGTACGCTTAATGACGTTTGAAATGTTTCCCTATTGGGTTCCTCGATAAATATGTCAGATTTTGTGGACCGTTATATTTCCTCTACAAGACCTCAATGCATTCAGCGGGGTCGGAGCTTTTCTAATGGATGAGAAGAGGAAGTCTCTATTGATGCGCTGCGAAATCAACCAGTGGCGACTGGGTTTATAAATATTCGTTTCCAGGAAACAGATGGAGCCCACAGTGGATAAAGGCGTTGGTTAGATCCAGTGACAGGACCCAAATAATGTGAGTTCAATACCCGGTTAAGGCTGTGGAGAACTTTCAGAAGGAAATTAACAGGAGATAACTGATAACTGACATCCATTAGACATGGCACGTGGAACTAGAACAGTCTACCCCAGTGAGCGAAATAAAGGGTTCAGTTCGACATTCCAACCACCTGAAGAAAGCCGGAGCGTACAACGGCCGAAACGTAGTAATAAATATGGCGACAAAGATGAGGACAATAGTCCGAATAATGTAAATAGTGTATATAATACCTCATCTCAGAAATATAGACAGATAAAATGCTATTATTTCATTTTCATAACGAATAAATAAAATTTTAAAAATACATAAAGAAATTAAGGATACAGTTATTTTTTATTTTATTTTATTTTTTATTTTTTTTGTGGAAAAATATATATTTTTTAGTAATTACAGTGTATATATACTGTACATATTACTGACACTAGAACCCGTGCCCATGTTATCGGACTGGAGGGATCAATCCCATCATGCGGCACCTTTACAAAATGCCTGAAAACCATACCACGGGTTGATCCGAGCCTTGTGAGTGAAATTGGGTAGACGGTACCCTCGGGGGCCGTCGATAGCTGTGATGGCACAAAGTCACAAGTCATGGTGGCCGAGGGCTTGTGTGTGCTGGCCTTGTCCAAAATGTTGATCATGCTAGATAACACGCTCTTTCCCAGAAACTGAAATTAAGGCCGGCACCAACATAGTTGCAGTATAAACAACAGGTGGGCCCTGTGGGTGTGGAATAAACACAAAATGCGCCAGAGCAAGCGTCTATAATAGGGACGGCTAGCCGCCTTAATAGATAGGTATCCTTGAATACGAGTGTCCAGCTATACGGGCAGTAGGCACCGAACGTAAATACATAATGTTATAATTTAATTTTTTATTTTTTTAAAAAAATTTATGCAATTGCTTAATATCCTTAAATATAATAAGTCACACACACACACACACACATATATATATATATTATAAGAGATTATAATAAATTTTTACATCGCTACACAAAAGCTTTCATGTTTCAATACTATGATTGTGCTTCCTCAATGTTTATTTGATAACTTGTGATAAAAGTGATTTATTAAGGAAATGTGTTTTTTTAAGTGTTTCACCCCAAGCAAGCCACTAGCACGCAAGGGGTTACAAAGAGTTGGAGCGAGAGTAAATAGAAGTGGTAGAGGAAAGGATGAAGAGAAGGATAGGGGATAGATCAAGGCATCTGGAAATGTCGATTGACATTACATTTGAATAGTTGGAGATTATAGCTATCAGGGAAACAGGAAAAGGGGAGGGAGTTCCACAGGCTAGAAGTGCGAAACATGAAGCCATTGGAGTAGAAAAGACGGCTACTTTTAATAGTTTCGACAGTGAAAGAGTGAGAGCGAGTTGAACGCTTAAATTCATGAAGTCTGGGAACCAGCGAAAGCAGATTATCGGAGTAGTTACTGTGAAAGTATCTGTAAAAAGACAGAGGGGGGGCGACGGCACGTCTGTGAGAGAGAGAGAGAGAGAGAGCGACTGCAGACGAGATGCCAGATCAGGGCCAATTACATTGCATATCCGTCTCTGGATTTTATCAAGGACCTTGAGACAAACAGAAGGGGCACCGGACCATATATGGCAGCAATACTCCATGCAAGGGCGAATGGTTGATTTGTAGATTTGAAGGATCGACTCCGGCGAGAAAATTTTCCTGGCGCGCCACAGGGAGCCAACTTTCTTTGCGGTGGACAAAGCTATTGACTCAATCTATTTGTTCCATCTCAGGTCAGCAGTCAATGTGATATATTGTGGGGGGGGGCACTCTTTCAAAGGGTCACTTGCAATCGAGCAAGCTGGGATCCTGGCCAGTTGAACAGTGAGGTTAACATAGCAAGTATAAAATATTTTGGAAACAAACGAATGATTGTAGAACTATAGAATAATGTAACGTAATGTCAGTAGAACAAGACACCATTTAAAATCACTGCTAAGGAAAAATCGTCCCCAGGTCGTACAAGAAAACTATCTTTATATTTATACGTGGGTCGATCAAAATTGCTAGGCGGACTGGATCTCGATAGCGGGCTATAGGGTGCCTACCCCGGTATTAAAGTTTCTGCAAAGAAGAATAAGGTTAAAACATGTGCACGGCTGTGGAAACGATTTCAGTTTATTTTTAGAAGATTATATTTATATAAGAATGATACCTTATGACTCAGATCCTTCATGGTTTTATCAAAGGGGGGTGGATATCAAGTGTGCTGTTACTTTTTTTTTTTATTTTCTTTTTATTATAACCTTTTCTGGGGATTAAAAGTTTCAAACAGGAGTAAACTTTCCGGATGATTAAAAGCTCCAAATGTGAGCAACATTTCTAGATGATTAAAAGTTTCAAAACCGAGTTACATTTTCTGATGATTTTTTTTACAATGAGGTTCATCCTGGTCAAGGCTCAGGAGCCAATCGAGTTAGAGTTTTTTTTTTTAATCATTTCACCCAAGCACGGTAATAAAGCCACTAAGTGCACGTGTTTACTGAATAGAGAATATATGAAAAGCTTCTATTAATGAGAGAGGACAATAAAAGAACCCGAATTAAGAAGATAGAAAATAACAATTGACATTACATTGAAAAAACAAAAAAAAAAAAACACCGAAAGAGAGATCCACAAGCGAGAAGTGCGATTGTAGAGACCTTTAGCATTTAACTTAGGGTTAAATCTAATCATTTCAACTGCAAAAAAAAAAACACACAAAAAAACACAAAAAAACAAAAACAAAAAACGGTGCCTTTTACTCTGGTTACAGAGTAAGAGACACAGTTTATGCGGATAGGTGGGAAGATAACGGTTAACCAGAGACTTGAACAGAAGAGGAGGGATAGGAAGAGGAGGAGAAGAAGAAAAAGAAAAAGAAGGAGGAGGAGGAGGAGGAAGAGATGGAAGAGGAGAAGAGGAGGAAGGAGATGATGAAGATGAATCTGGATGATAAAATTTCGAAAGTTCATTGTCACCGACTTTCTTGTCAAGAAGGAGGAGAAGTAGTAGTAGTAGTAGTAGTAGCAGTAGATGAAGAAGAAGAAGGAGGAGGAGAAAACGAAAAAAGGAGGAAGAGCAGAGGGGAAGGAGGAAGAAGAGAAGAAGGAGTAGTAATAGTAGTAGTAGAAGAAGAAAAAGAAGAATTTGAATGATAAAATGTCGAAAGTCAAGAAGGAAGATGAGGAGAAGTAGTAGTAGTAGTAATAGTAGTAACAGAAGAAGAAGAAGAAGGAGAAGGAGCAGGAAGAGGAGGAGGGGGAGAAGACGAAGAAAAAATGAGGCAGGGAAGAAGAAGAAGAAGAAGAAGAAGAAGAAGAAGAAGAAGAAGAAGAAGAAGAAGAAGAAGAAATAGACTATGGAAAAATCATCAACATGTCAGATTAGCATAGTATTATAATATTTACCCATCAAAATTGCTTAGGTCGCCTATTTCTGGAAATGATTCTTTAAGATTACTTGTCAGGCAGACAGAAAAATACTATAGAGACTGAAAAAGTTAAGTTTTAGTTTCAATGAACGTAAAATAAAAGTTCAAAATATCCGATCGTCGGTACCAGCTGATCTATCAAGCCTAAATATTCTTCGAAACACTTCTGTCATTAACCAACTGGAAATGACAGACGGAAGAAACGTAAGAGAAATACTACTGATAAAACATTAACCTATGACACATAATATTAATACACCAAATAAATATGACTATCATACAAAGCGTACAAAGAAGACTATATGGTAAGCGTGTCTGCATTGTGATTCCGTGTTTTTTATCCACCTGTAAGCTGGGGAGTATTCTGACAGAGGACTGTAAGTGTGACATTGAGATCCGAAGACGTATTGGGATGACCAAAGACGCATTCCAAAAGCTAGGCTAAGTATTACAAGACAGAAGGATTTCATTGGTAACAAAGAAAATATTACTGAACTGCTACGTGACATCTATCTTTCTTTACGCGAGCAAATGTTGAACAGTCTCCTCAGAGATGAAAAAGAGACTCGAGATATGGTTCTACAGAAGGATGCTAAGGATATCATAGAGCATGTAAGCAACGATGATGTTTTGGAGAAGATGCAAAAAAGGAGGAAGCTTATACTTAACATCAGGAAGAGGCAGCTGAAATTTCTAGCATGCATAATGAGAAAGGAGGGCTTGGAGAATCCGATACTCATAAAGGGAAAGAGAGATGAGGGAAAGCAATGCATGACATATCTGTCGAGCTTCGGTGAGTGGATGACAGAATATGGCCTGGGGAAGTAGCAAAGTGACAAGACTTATTGAGAATTACAAGGGATAGGGAGAAGTGTAGAGCAGTGATCGCCTACGTCCTTTAAGGACACGGCACATAAAAAGAAAGAAAGGCTAACTTGCTTTTTATATACAGTAATGTTTTCTGCGATAGCGAAAGTGCCTTTGCCACGTTTTGAAATGCTTAAAT